CGTCACATTGACTGACCCGTATTGAACAGTTAATAGATGGATGTGGTATTTATAAAATCTCATGTATTTATGGTTTAATGTATATTGGCCAAATATGTAGATATTTAAATTGAGACTTAATGAACGTAAATCATCTACAGAAAATTGCAAAATTAATGAATTGGCATTAACTGAACATATAGCAAACAATGCTCTTTCTCAGTGTTAATTGGAAAAGTGTCAAATTGATTAAATATACAAATAATAAATACCAACTAAATATAATAAAATCACTAGAAATATGTAAGAAATTGAAGTCAATTTCAAATAGATTTGGAAAGAAAGATAAAGAGGTGGCAGCATCATTTATGCTAATTGCTGATCAATATTTTTTTTTTGCATTATGCAAAAAATTAGAAAAGTATATTAACAGTAGAATAGGGTTCTTCACCGCTCTCTCCTTCCTAACAATGGTGAGTCTATGACCCACCAAAACATGTAAAGTTGTTAGGTAAGGCTTGGTGCCCTTAATATTTCTTTAAAAGTATTGTGTACATTTTAATGTTGTCTTACTGAGTTCTTCACAAGTACTTTACACAAGGCTGGTTCAATCTGATTTTAAGGTATTATAAATAAGCATGGTAAAATATTAATATATGTTATATTCAGAATCTATATAAGACATAAATACTAAGATTATGACTTTTGCTAACAGTTAATATATGTTTGTTAAAAAAGTTAATGCAATGATACAATTAGTACATCTTAGATCATCTCTGAAAGCAAAGATCTAAACAGTTATGTTAATTAAATTATAAAATGAAAAAAAAACATCAAGAGAAAATTTAGCTTTAATATGAGTAGTAGTTTTCTACATTATTTATGTAAATTACAAGAACTTTAAGCCTCACTTTTTTCAGCTTCTGTCATAGGCTTTTTTTCTTCACCTCCAGGATGCTATATTAAAAATTATAAAAACTCATCAATCTTCAAGAGAAGAACAACTCATATTTCAACTTTATGCTTATCAGTGGACTGTTTGCAATTTTTCTCATAATAATAACTTCAGCTGATGAAAGTAACTATTTTTTTCATATGTTTCGAAATATGCGACTTTCTTTTCTTATTTACTCAAAGATTATAAAACGTTAGAGAATCAACAAATCAAAATTAATAATGAGATGTGAATAAAAAAAACACAATGAATAGCTTTAACTTATTATTTTGAAATTGTGGAGTATAATGGGCATGATACTAATACCATAATATGCTATAGTAAAGGTCATTTAAAACAGCTAACATTCCATGTTCTTATAGGGGAAAAGATATAACCAACAAATATCATAAAAATCTATCATATGGCAAAGATCTCTGAAATAACCAATACTAATTTACATGATGCATACACACAAAATAATCAACTGAAAATACTAAAAACAACTAATAGAATATTTATCACACTGCAGCATATATAATTTCTAGAATTTGTAACAAAAACATGCTCAAAAGAAATTACAATTAAAGAAACTAAAGAGGTTTGGCTTAAAATACTCTTGTTGCTAAAACTATTATAAAATATTCTTCAATGTAAACAATAAAAAAAACGAATTTTGGCCACAACATGTGGACTCTGAGACCTTACAAAATATATTTGATAAAATTCTTCAATATTAACTATAAAATTTCATCTTAGTATAAGCAGGTTGAAGAGAAAATTTTCATGCTACTTATATGCATTAGATCTAGTGATTGATTGGTTTTAAAATCAAGGAATGAAATTAAGTTAGTAAGCCATTTTAATTCAGTTAAAAGGCAGAAACAGCTCAAGAGCAGTTGCCCTACTAGAAAACACCAATTTAGCTTGTTAACTACATCTACTATTTTAACAGGCTGATAATTTTAACATTTCATTGAGATCTAGCAATTGTAACTCATTCTTCACTTCTTATATATGTATATATTACAAAAACATTAAACATTTCAAAAGGTAATAGTTCAAAAATTACTCAAACATTTACAAATCCTTAAAGAAACAGTAATATCTCACATAAAACTGTGTGCATGTTTTTAACCAACACAACCGATTTATCAAAAATTCCATTATACAAACAAAATACAGTTGACAAGCAAGTTCTACTATCAGTAAAGAAAACTTGCTTATAAGCAAAATTGCTTTTGTGCAAAGTGGGCCCTAAAACAAAAGCAAGCCCATCCTCCTCCTCCCTCCACATGACCTCCATACCTATCATAATGTATAAAGCAGTGCTCGGATGCTTACGTGACTGGTTACAAGGTTACCTACTTATTTTAATAATATTTGATAATTTTATTAATTTAAAATAAAAACTTAAAACTAAGTAAATAAACATAAAACAAGCAGATTCAAACAGATTATTTTGTTGTAAAAATTTGATTCTGATTAAATTAATTCACATAAAGAGACCTTTCTAGTTATAAATTAGAAAAACTGCATTAAGTGTGTCCACTGAAGTAGGATCTAATGTTACATTGCTGTGTTGACTTTTCTGAAATTTATCAGTGGCATATTGAATTACTGATTCCAATGATGACCAGTTATGAAAATCATGATCAACTGATAAGATGGGCATGTGTGATGAATATTTTCATATATTTTAAGAGGATCTGTTGATGTGAGTATTGTTTTATCTTCTAAGTTGTGTCATTTATAAGCTTCACAGGTGGCATACTGCTTTGAATTAGCTGTAGTATGCCCTGATGACAAAAACAACCTTTACGTAAAAACTTCCTTATAAGTAGATCTTGCATATAGTTGAAGTAAGTTAAACTAGAAACAAAAGGAAGTAAACTGGCTCCTCGAGAAATCGTGCTTAAAAGCAGGTTTTAATGTCCAACATGCTTATAAGTCATCTGTATAAACAGACCATATTCTTATAAAAAAAGAAACATACCAGGGATTGCACTAAAGTTTTACTTCCTTCTGTTGATTCTTCAAATAAATTCGAATTATCTTTTGTGGACAATGAAGCATCTACACCTGGATGATTCATGGTGACCTTACTTTCCCTAAAATAGTTAGGATAAGAACAATAAATTTTTAAAATTCTGCCAAAAAGTAAACAAGGATTTTATAAGTTTAAAATTTACAAGTTTCTAAAAATATTTAAGATGCATTTTAGGTGGGCTAACATTTTGTATTAATATATATCTAAAAAAAATTTGATTTAATAATATTATATGTTAAATTTTTATAGCTGAAGCATGAAATTTGGAGCATAGTTGGGGTTGAATATTCTTATTTAAATAACACATTTAAAAGTTTCATTTATTATTCTATAAGCCTAATAACCACATCTATACCATTATTACATAACATATGTTTAAGTAATAAGGTTTCTTGATCAAGAAGTGAGAATTTCTTAATCAACTTTATTTCAGTCTTTCATCATGTCAGACTATATATTTTGAAATAGAGTTGTTTTAGTAGGGGGACAAAAATCATTTATGTAACTCTATATTTGAAATAATAATCATCTAGCATCAACTACAATTATTTTCAACTTAACCAAGATTACACAACTGTTTTAAACCTTCCACAGCAGCTGTCAGGCTTGGCATGGCCTAGTAGTTAGGGTGCTCAACTCACAACATAAGAGTAGCGAGTTGAAAATCGCATCACTGAACATGCTTGTCCTATATGAATGCTTACTGGGATGGCCATCCACCTGTAAAAATTCTTGGTTTACAATAATACCGGCTGACCTAAAACTAGATGGATTAAGGTGGAATGTAAAAAAAACAGTAGTTATCATAAATCTTTTCCTCCTATATCTGGGATGTAGTAATTAGTATATCTATAAACATAAAACCTAGTTTGAAACAATGGTTTTGGACTTAAAACTAAGAAAGGACCTACTACAACTCAAGAGTTATAATCAAGAGGAATAAAATCAAACATTTTGTGAAAATAAGAGAATTCTGTAAAGATAAACTGAAGCCAGAAAAATTTTAGTATCAATATCAGTCATTTCAAATCTTCATAAAAATGGGTTCAGGTTATTGCAAACAAATAAAACAAAAAAGTACAATACAATTTTGCTGTTTACCTTTTTCCATTCAGTTGGTTGACAGTCTCATTACTTGAATACACTGCTGCAGCCTGCGAGTTATTGGAGGTACCTGTGTTAAGATAAGAATACATTTCAAATATGAAGGCAAATAAATTAAATTGTAATTTAATAATCATTATTTATGTGAAATATTCCTTGCATGCAATACATATTGGACCATTTACTAATGGTATTACTACTTTAAATATAATGTAATTGATAATGTTTCAGATTTTTATACCTGAGTTAGTTTGAGAGATATGTTATACAATTTTTGTTAAATGATTGTGTCAGAGTTATCTAAGAGAGTGCAATAGGGTCAATGGAAGTGGCGTTCTATTGTCAGGAAGATATGATAAATATATTTAAAAAATACAAAACATACATATGCTATCAATTACATACAATTCTTCACAAAAAAGTTCACAGTTAATAAAAATTTCATAAAAACCTCAATTTATAAACAAGTGTTAATTTTGAATTCATCACTACAATTTTTTAAAATATTGGAACTTTTGATTGATTTTAGTCTTTGTCAACTGCTGAGACAAAATTTATAATAAGTGTAATTAGTTACAATAGAATGTTTGAATATTCAAATACCTGATGAAGACACATCCATAGGACACAAATTTGAGCTTGATTTGTCACTAAAGGATGATTTGTAAGAAAAGCTGCCATTTGTTCTATTAGGCAAATGTTTAAGCAAATTCACTGGTGGAGGAAAAGGCTGCATGAAAAGAAACCTAAACTTGAACATTTATAGTCAATATTAACAAAGCAAATGTTAGATTTCTCCTTGATGTTTCTTTTTCAAATTCATTGTAATCGAAAAACTTAGTTGACTAATTGAGACAGTTTCAAAGTAAAAGTTCTAAATTATCAAGTTTAGAATATTTGTCAACCAATTAGGTACATGAACAAAGATTTCTATTCTTATTAATATTACTATATTTATATAGTATTTTTCAGCAATTTTAAAGCATGAAATTATCCAAAAATAAATATGTTAGGTTTTATCATGGCTTTATACTACTGAAGTCTATAAATCCCTTATTCAAGGTTAGTACACTTTCTAGTGAACTATGTTTTAGCCTACTTCTAGCTCATTATTTCTTCCAAAGCTCATTCAAACTACATTTTGTTTTAATGTCACTGCTGAAGTACATCTCAGTTGAGCACAGGAAAAAGTAGAAGAACAATAGAATTAGATAAATTGGACATTTGAAAAAGTGTGGACCAAGTAAAATACTGTGAAAAAAATGGGATGAAATTAACATGCTTTGAAGAAAAAACCTCTGGATGATCTTTCTTCTCTAATTATTTCCCATCTTTATGTGTAATACAGATATTAGACAATGTTTACATTCACAACCTTCCCCATTCTCTATCTGTCATACTGGTATAATAACTTATTATTTACATTCAAGATTTCCCCATAGTTACAAAGACAACTGATATAGTAACATAGATGAGAAATTATTAAAAAAAATTGATGAATACACAATACTGTGTAAAGTGATTTACAAATTTACAATAAAGTTTAAATCCAACTAATGGAACAATACCAAATCTAAATGGAAACTGGTTTGACATTTCACATGTTCTCTTCAGTCCAACATTTGTTTGTAAGAGAAACACATACACTGTTTATTTTATAACAGAAGTTCCAATTCCTTGAATGGCATATGATGACAGAATGTGGTTCAACTTTAAGTGACCTTCAGATGTGTTGAAGTTTGGATTAACAAACGTTCGAGAACTCTTCTTTTGACTTAAGTTATAGTTCTACGTACTAGCTTGGCTAATTCACAGCTTATTTTATTATCAAATTCACTTTGATGTAGAAAAACAGCATTATATGTTTGACCATTTTTAACAGGTTTAGCAGAGGACTATATAGACACCATATTCTTTATCTGGGGTGCATACTTTTTTTATGATAAAAAATTTTTAATGGTGTAGGGATATATATATAAACAACTTTGAAATTGTTATCTTTCAGGATTCTCTCTAAAGCCACAATATTAGAATTGTAGTTGACCCTAAACATTTTCTTTACATTTTTACATGGAGATGGTGCTGGTTGCTGATCACTGATCCTAAAGAATATCTGCCTTGCCTTTTCATGGGCATTTTTGATAAGGCCTATAGGATACTGCAGTCGTTCAAAAATTGTATAAATCTTTTTAATTTCATCATCAAGAGTCATGTGATGGCAAATTCTATAAGCTCTTAAAAACACTGAAGTTATAATTGATGACTGAACTATTTTATGGTGGCACAAGAAAAAAACTTAAAGGGTTTGTCAGTTTTATATAGATAGAAAAAACAGGTCCTATTTCTGCTCTAGTTATAAGAATGTCTAAAAAAGAGAGGGAATTATTGGTTTCCCATTCAACTTTAAACTTAATGGTACTTTGAAGTTAATTAATCTTCTGGTAAAAAGCTTGAAAATAATTCCTTAGCCAAACAAAAAATATCATCAACATTACAGAACTAAGGGATTTCCTTTCTATTCTGATCCATTGTAGGAGGTAAGTTGCTTTCAAAATACTCCATGAAGTTATTACATAGAACTGGGGATAAGGAATTGTCCATAGCTATTCAATATTTTTGTCTGTAATATTGTCCCTTTCATGTGAATACATTATCTTTAACACACTCACTTCCAATGGGGAGGTAAAAGTGTGGATTAGCACTGAAAGCAGAACTTATTTACATTTATGACTTCCCCTGTCTTTAAATTTGGTACTGGTGCAGTAACATATCTGGATGATCTGTAGACATTCAGATTTCTTCTTTATTTTATATAAATTTATTTTCTTATTTAGTAAGAACCGAGAAGCAGAATCACTTCATTATTACTGACAATAATTATACAATTACCTTCATTGCAACATAAGACATGAATAAAAATGTCAATTTATTGATTACAGCAAGTCACACAGAAACAATAGTGATTATGAGATTTTTGGGAAAAGAGGAGGAATGTGAACTGCACAGAAATTCTGAGGTATAGTTCATTTTAAAAAAGACCTTTTAAATTTTATTTAAAATATTATTATGTCATCTTTTTAGAAAGGGTGGGGGTTGGAAGTAACTTATAGTTGAATTATTAGTGTAGATTTATTATTATTTTTTCTGCTTTAGGAACTGTTAGAACTTTTAAGGGCAGAGGTTGAGAGGAACTTTTAGTTAAAATATTTTTAGGGTGGTTTTAGTTTATTTCCATTTTTGATATTAGTAGAACTTTTATGGGTAACTGCCTTCCCACAACTGGCTGCAGACAATGAGGGGCAATAGGAGTTGAGACATTGTGGGTATAAGCACTCAACTCTGCACCTTTAATTGATTTTCCATGATTGCTGGTTAGTTTTCATCTGCATTTGAATTTTGTCTGATAGATGGGATATCCCCAACACTTTTGGGAGCTATCACCATAGACAATTTCCATTATGACTTCAAGGTTATGACTGGAAATTACAATGGACTTTATAAAATAATGCTAAGACTTATCGTATATTAAGTTAATTTTTTTATAGTGTTGATTTTAATTTATATGATAATATTAATATGATAATAGTTTTGAAGCTATTTCTTTCATTATATATATTACAGTATGGAATAAAAATCCAGATTAGAAAAAACTGCCACATGAGCATGGTGGTTTTATTAGAGTATATTCCTTTAACCCTTTTTCAGTTAATTGGCAGTGTATTGCCATTTCTGCATTTGCATTCATACGGAACTAATAATTCATAAATATCACAACTGAAGCTTGCACACTTCACACCTATAGAATATTGAATATTTTTAGATCAAATTTTTTGGGTAAAGTACCTATTTATAATGAAACAAAAGCCATTATGTAACATAGCCAAATTAGCTATATACTATGCCATTATGCAATAAGCCCATAATCATTCACCTAATCAGAACATTCTACAGATTACAAAGATCCTGTAACTCAAGATTTATCAGTATTCCTCTTTTGTTCATATATGATCTTATTCATTTTCACAAAATAATTGTCTCACAGAAGAAAAGTTATATCAAATATTTAGGCCAATTTCTATACCTTTGTATAACCATGTTATTTTTATCAGTTTCATTCCAACAACATGAATATTTTTGAATGGCAACAATACAACCGCTGAGCTTAATGACATCAAGGTACTGATGAAATTTACAATCCATATAAAACAGAAAGCTCTATGACAAACAGATTGTAAAAAGAAAATATTTCCAGGTTTAAGATGATGTAATTATAAACTGTAAAACAAAAAGTGTAGGTTAGTTGCATCTGACAGTGTTTGACACCAGCAATTTCAAAAATTCACTGTTTCCAAACTGTTTGAAGTAGAAATAATCAACAAACATGTACAAAGGCCAAAGATTTGCAGCTATGTTTAATATGTTGACAAGTTTTATTTATGCAAGTGGACATTTGAATACATCAACTCCCTATGTATTAAATGTATAAAGAAAATACAAACTGATCAATAGTGCACATCAAATATAATTAAAAATGAGTAAAGTAAAATAACACTTTTATTTGAATAAAATATACAAATACTTTTCCAAATAAATTGTTTTTTTAAATATATTTTCTGTGATTTACAAGCAGTATACTGTGCATCATAAAAAAATAATAGCACAGAACTCACCTTAGGCCGTTTTCCTGAAGTTATTTTGATGCCAGGCATGATGCAGGCTTCACAGTCTGACAGTGGACTAGGAAGAAGTGGTGGAATCACAGGGTCAATTGTATCAGGTCCAGCTAATGCTTGAGCCTAAGTATATCCATGTTTATTTAACTATACTTCCCACTCATACATGTTAATTTTATCATGTCTACCAAATGCATGATTATCCAAAAGAACATCACCATATCTTCCCATCTCTTTACATTTATCTAAAAATAAGTCACAAGTTGGAGCATCAATAAAGAAACACTTCTGACATATATCTTAACATACAATGAACTAAGTCTGATAAAAAAAACAATTTTGAGACAGCTTGAATGGGTAATGAAAGAATATTATAAACATACAACATTTTGACAAATTTCTCGTCATCAAATCAAAAATGAGTCTGACCTTGCCTTATTTAAAAAAAAAGATGTTCTAAATATATTCACAATCAGGACTGATGCAACTAGGAGTGCAGCATGTGCACTTGCACAGAATAGCAGATTTTTGGGAGCAACAAAAATGAATGTCAGAAAATTGGTTCTGGTCACCAGTTGCTTCCTGGCCAAGGAAAAAATATTCAAAAAATCCCTGTCAGACAGAATCAGCATTCTACGATAAAGCACACAACTAGAACATAACATTAATGCTGCCAACAGATAATTCCCAGAAAAATATGCTGGGGGTGAGTGTCACAGCCAGCATTTGCACAGGCTGGCAAAAAGCATCGTGCCAATCCTGTTCTCAATGAAGTTCAGTATGAGGGGGAGTAAAACAATGGAATAAAGACATCCACCTCCTCTTACTTTATATATCATAATGCCTTGTAAGTACTAACTTTGGAAAAGAAAATTTATTACTACATCTCAAATATTGACCTCTTATTTGATTCGTAAGAGTCAGTGGTCATGCAATTTTTGTAATATCACTGCAATGACATCACAGTGGAATTTCACTGATATATACTGACAGGATGGTCACTGAAACTGAATTACCTTAATTACTGCAGTTCATACCTTGTGTGTATGCTTATACATATATAAAAAAACATCCAACTTTCAATAATAAGCAACTATATGAAACAAGCTGACTGTTATGTGTAGTTAACACAACAATCAAATAAATAATTTTTAATGAAGTATTTTCTCTTGTAAGTAACAAACTTGTTTTTAGGCCCTAAACTATAGTTACACCATTTCATTCTATGTTTATATAATAGTGTTAGATAACAGCACTGTCTACTAAAAAACACAAAACACTTTTAAAAGTCTGTAAATCTTACAAATATACTTACTGATGGAAACAAACTTATTTTAGCTTTTGTAATATTTGCCACCATAAAAAGCTAGAATTATTTTACAGTTATCAGTAAAGGTTTGTCTAGTATTAGCTGAAACTGTTCAAAGTGCACTTTTGTTTCTCGTGTCTTCCAGTAACAACATGTTAACAAGTTTTTACAATAATACAGACAAAGATGGCTCTTTCAAAACTTGTCTTTATCTTACTAGCATAGAAAATTCTCATTGGTTAAATACTAAAATATTATCATACACTGCTGCCAGTGGTATTTTAAAAAAGATATTTCATAAAGAATTATCATTTGATAACCAGTTGTTTCTTTACACTAACAAACCCTTTATAACACATCAACTAGTTTTCTGCAGATTTTTGGTCAATATGAAAAGAGAAAAATTATCACAGCTCTTGTTCAGCATACCTACAGTATCACTTGTAATCCATAAGCTATCCTGTCTATCTACCTTACGCAATGAAAAGCCCATGTGAATATGCAAACTATAAAGTTCAGTAAATATGGTATGTATATCTAATTCTTTAATATTTTTGAACCTGTTTCCAGTAATCTACATTGCAGTGACTTACATTTCACTTTTTTCTATTGCAGTAATAATGAGTGAAAACTATCAAATTTCAATAATGTAGCAACAGAACTCAGAATTACCTACAAAAATGGGCAATAGAAACAATATTCATATGTTGTGAAAATCAGATGTTATTGTTAGGCCATCCAGCTATAGTGCAATAGGAAAAATACTGATCTAACATTAAAATATTCATAAAGTAAATTACTAAAAATAAAAACTAACCCTACGAGGAGAAACAAATGATGACAAACTAATTTTTTTCATGCCAGGTGACTTCATGTCTATCTTTTCCATGTCTTCAAAAGGAAAGAACACAGTTGGGGACAACGCAGGATCTGTGGTTCGAATATCAAGAGAATTAGGTTCTGTTGAAGTATTCCAGTTGCGATTAAGTCTTAGAATTGGCAATCGGTGTGTCATCTGAAGAATCCATGACTTGATAATCAGAGAAAAATAAAATATTATTATAATAGCAATGTGAGAAAAACACAATTCAAAAGCATTAATTATTAAAATATATGTATCAAAATATTACTTCAATAAACATAGGTTTTTGTTTGTTTTGGATATTCATGTCAAGTTGCACAAGAGCTATCTTTGCTAACTACCCCTAACTTTTGAACAAATAAACCAGAGCTATTCAACAACACCTATTACCAGCTCTTGGGCTGCTATAATTGAATACTGTGATTTGGCCATCACTTTCATAATGTACCCTTGGACCAAAGTGCAGAGCTTAATTTGTTTGGAAAAAGGCACAAAGTTTACAGTCCAGTATGTTAAGATAGGAAATGGCAGGTGCTGTAATGTTTTTTACATAAGACACAGTTCACAGGATGTTAAATAATGTGATTCATTTTGAATTATCTATAGTCATGGTTTTCTGGTTTGAAGTTCACTTTTTGAAAAAATATGTAGTTATTTAAGTGTTTATGATTTTGGGATAAAATACTGCAAATTAAAGCATAAAGTGCTACACATGTCAGAGGAGTTATAAACTCCGAGTTGTTTCATTTAACAAACAATTGATTCATTTCTTCAACTTACAAAGAACTAGTCATTTGACAAATACATAAAAATGGCTAAGAATATTAAAGACTTAAATAAAGCACAAATGTAAACATTAGTGGCAAAAATTTGATCAAAATTCTAAAATTTAGGTATCAAATGTTCAGCATCACTATCAGCATTTTACAATGATTGATTCAATTAACAAACAACGTACATTTATACTCAGCAACATTTTTAAGCTAATAGTTCAAACTTACAAAATACAAAATTTGTGGTTTTCCTTTAACCTTCTAACATCTAATTAGGTCTATTAAACAATTTTTCTCCTCCCAAAAGAAAGTCGTAGAAAAGATGGTATTAATACTTAATAAAACCTCAAAACAGTAATGAGTTGAAAAATTTCATAAATGTATAGATACATTTATTACCTTGGAAGAGTTTTTATTATTGGCAAGTCTTCTAAATGCTAATGGTTTATTTGTCATCTTGTTCCTTACTTCTTGATCTGATAATCCTAAGGAGGAAAAATAAAAAAGATGTTTAAGTGGCACCAATTACGTATAATTTTTATTACAAAATAAAAGTTCTACACTAAAACAAATTAAACTTTACAGGGAACAATGTATTCAATGTGTTAAAATAAGTCTTTCTTTGTAAATTAAAATTGTGGGACAAAGCATTTAATCAAGTAGTTTTTTAAAATGAAACTTGACCATATTTATAGGATTTTTAAGGTAAAAGAGCCTTTTATACCTAATTTATCTTTATTATGAGCAGGGTTAAACAAAAGCAACACTGTACCTGAATATGTACAAGTATAAAAAAACACCTAAAAGCCATTACAATAAATATTTAACATATTTACCAACACTTCTCGTGGGAATGTGATGAAGAGTGGAGCTTGGTAGTAAACCCAATTAATCAATATAATAAACTGCCTATGAGCATCTATTACATTGATTAGTGTTGCATAAATAATCAATTTATCAAAATTATGGTTAAATCAATTAATGTCACAAAAAGAATCAACTAATCAGAATTAGTTCTTCAAGTAATCAAAATATTTCTATTATGATTTCTTATTATTACTTTTGATTAATCAAGGTTGTTCAGCTTAATCAATTAGAGTACAATTCACTAAAATACACAGCTAATCCAAATTAGTATTAATTATACTTGTCATAAAACATTAGTATTAAGCCTATTATATGTTTAACCCTGTGTTTGTTGCATCCCAACTGGTTTAATGAGCTCTGGAATGAGCAAAAAATATTATTATAATTTCTTTACTTCTTAAAAATCCCTAAAGAAATAAATTAAGAAATGCATTATTAAATATATAACAAGCCTGATATTGTCTTATGAAAAGTATAATTAACTATAATCATGAATTGTTAGTTTGGAAAAGATGTTCACACCATAGCAGTCGAAGTTATTCGAATTTAATGTTTTCAATTATTCCAACTATCCAAGTCTCATGAGAATAAACAATTAGCTGAATGTAACTGATAAATGAGCCAGACGATTAATCAATTGGCAAATTTCATCAATTAACCAGTGCTAATGAAGAGCTCACCATTTCCAACTTCTTAACCCATTGACTGCTGATTTGCCATGTAGGGTTCTAGCCCACCTCCAGCAGTTGATGGCAAGTGTGCCATATACATTGTACAATAGGGTTTGCAATAGTACCAGTAGTACCAGGTTGCTGGTACTGATACTCAAACATCTATAATCACGGGACTTGAGCAGTTAGAAATTCAACTATTCCTCCAAGCGTGTTCTCGTGGGAAAACTTTTCTTCACATCAAACCAAATTGTTAATTATCTGTAAGCCCACATGGAATAATGGCTATGCCAATGAATAAGTTGAAATCTAGGCTTTCTATTGATTATAAATTTAATGGAGGTTGGCCTCAGAAAAATAAATCTATTAGCAAATTTTAAATTAGAGCATGTCAGAGGTAAGTGGTTTCTGAATTTTCATTGATTGCTCTTTAGCCCCATAAGATTGAAGAATATAAAAATATAGCTTCAGAATATCAATGATAAAATTATAGAGCATATTTTAGGTTACATTTTGTAGTTTTCTGAGGAGCGGTCAAAAAAATCCAGAAGAGGAGATGGTTCAAGATCAAATATCCAAATTCTCACACTAGTAGAATTTGAGGTTGTTTTTAAATATTTTCTTATACAAATAAGATTTAAAATTTATATAATAATAAAATTTGATGTGAAGTTTATTCTTCTACCATGTTAATTAAGTTGTTTAATCAAATTTTGAATGTAACTCACTAAAACACCATGACATGCACAGTTTGACCTGCCCGTATGCTAAAGGTTAATCAAAGTTAATTGCAGATTTTCACAACGAGATTTGCTTATTGACTGAAGTACAAACTCAAAACTACCACATCAAAAATTTATAATTCTGTGAAAAGCAAAGCTGAAATACCAGAGGAGGCATTCAGTCAAAACTCTGAAAATTGGACAAGTGATAACAGATATTATTCTCAACATATGATATACTATAAACCAGTACTACCTGTACTGATGGCCCAGTACCAGTACTGGTATCAACAGCAAACCCTGGGGTACAGCTTACATAAATGTTGCACGTGTTTAGAGCACACATTTTCTCTTAGCATGTCATCATCCCTATTTTATCCACCACCTCTCAAAAATAACGAAATTAAACATAAAATACTCTCTACAAAATCGTTATTGCTCAAACAAACCATAATTTTTATAGCCTTCAATTTTGTTTGGTTACAGAACCACACCCACCTGCCACATCCTCTCTTTCACAATTTGTTGATAGTTCTCTCTTACGTTTCATTATACATTACTTATAACCAATAGAAAGTCAAGGTTTTCATCTATCAAATGACGTATTGTATAACGTTGTATTCTGAACAGAATATCATCAATTTTACTCACAGTACAAGATTCATTCCCGTGGGAAAGTTAATGACTAGCTTGGAAGAATTTGTAATGGTTCTTGTCGCATAGTTAGAAAGCTAGGAAAATTTTGAGAGGTAATTGAATTTGTCTACTTTTTGCATGTTATTAGTCCATATTCTGTGGTGCATTATTTCATTAAATAAAAATTATAAAATGGATTACTACTTACAGTATAAAAAATTAGGGTTAACTCTCTCTTTGAAAACCCAAGAGTAAGAAAAAAAGAAGATTGGGTAAGTACTTTATTTCTTGTTTTTCATATTTATTCTTTAATTCTTATTATAAAAGTAACTCAAATCTAAAAATATGGATCTTTTTAAGTTATTTAAGACTAGATTAGGTTAAATAAGTAATAATAATCATATAATTAAAATGGTTCATAAGGCACACACGCAAGCAGCTCATGGGTAATGTCAAGCGATAGAATAACATGAGCTGCACATTCCCCAAGTGATTTACAACTTATAATGGTGCAAATAGTAGTTAGACACGGTTCAAAGGGCAATAAAACAATAAGATTTAATTATAAATAGATGTATACTTTTACGAACTTAGAGCTACTTGGGATAAACAAATGTAGTTTCATATTACAAATTGAAGTCATTCTAGAAAGAAAAAGAGGGTAATTTAGGTTTATTTCGATTTTTTTTTGTTGCTTACGAGGTCGGTCGAATTGAC